CCCCCCCCCCCCCCCTTTGTCTTAGAAAGAATCGTGACCTTGGGATACCCTCCTCCTCTACGGTTGGTACCGATGGCCTACAATAATCCAAGCGCTGCACTTACGCGCGAGCCCGGCGATCCCATAACCTTTAGACGCTGGGGCGGCTAGACGTCATGCGCAGGACCCTGATATAAAGCTGAGCGACCGCAGGCCAATCCTACGCCAACCACTGATGCCAATCATACGTGGTAACCGCGGCTCCGGCCTCGCGATATTGAATGGTTGAAAGAACGCATCACGAGGGGTTACCCCTCACGATATTGAACGGCTGAAGGACGCACCGTTCGGCCCTCACGACATTTCCGCCTTTCAGGTGGAGTGCCCCGCCGGCCAAAGTAAATAGGCTCTTTGCAAATAGGCAGAGGGGAGGGTCTTTCCTGTCTCTCAATCCCAACTTTTACGCGGTGTTAACATGGCTTCTTAGGCCTCCCGAACGTTGAACGTACGTGTACCCACACATATCTACAAAAAGGGGGATAGAGTTGTGACGATCACTTCTCACAGGCACAATGGGACTCCTTACAACCATGTATATGTATATGAAGTCGCAGGCACTCCAAATCCAAAATCCGAATCACTGGACATACCTGCAATCACACCAAGAATCAAACGACAAAGCACGCACTACACGGAGTCAACCCTAACCATTCTCTATGCTCATACCCTTTCGCTTTAGCCATGCAAGCCCCCATTGCGAGTCCAACCAACCTCAATTAAATACTCAGTACCTTTGTTAAATGGCCATTCAATAAAAGTCCGAGAGAAACCCTTAACAAAMAGTAAAACCACCAGGGCTAAAGCCTCTTAGGTTGAGTAGGGATAGTGAGTTGGAATTGAGTCGAAGACCGACGAATCGACAACCGACCTGTTATCAGTGATAACAGAAGACGATCCTCAAGGGATCAAGCTGAGTCTAGTCCTGATCTTGAAACAGACACCCCAAAGGACCTGTAGCACAAGATAGGTCAAATGCCCAARCTAAATCATCAGCATATGGGGGATAAACCTCCATAGCACTTTCTCACTCAAAGTTTTCTGCTAACTGAGTCCAAGCCTGCCCCTACACCAGTGCGCAAAGCAAAGGTAGACTAATGGCTGAATTTCTCTTATTCAGGGTGGATTGCCAAAATCGCCACCTATCAGAATATAATCTAACTCCTCTGATTTAGGAAAATTTTGGCAGCGCTTCCCGTAGGAACAGTGTCTTTCCATAATTCATACAAGTCAAAATGTGAAGGCATAAATAATCTTTTACTGTGGAAAGTCAAATTTTGTCTAACTCCCTCAATTAGTAAAAATTTRGGCARCATTCCCTTTAGAAAGGGAGACTTCCCAGATTTACACCAAGTCAGATATGAASTCAAAAACTACTTGAGCTCAATTTAGACAAGATTTGACCAATTCCTTAGTTTTGCAGAAATTTCGGCAGCACCCCTTTTAGAAAAGTGTTATTCCAAAATTTATACAAAGATGAGTCAAGAACTTGAGAATAACTTTGACTTCTCAAAGTCCAATTTTGTCTAACTCCTTTAATTAGCAAAAATTTGGGCAGCACTCCCTTTAGAAAAGGAGACTTTCCAGATTTTTACTAGGTCAGATATAAAGAAAGACAAGTTGAACTTGGACAAGTCAAAAATTGACTAACTCCTTAGATTTGTACAAATTTCGGCAGTCCTTCCCGTAGAGAAAGTGGCCTGCCAAGATTTCTACAAAGCCAAGCACAAAAAATGATCCCAGAAAATGCGAGAATTGTCCTAAGTAAAAAAAGCTATCACAGAAAATACAGGAATTAACCTAACTCCTATCGCTCTAGCACGTGACGAGCCTCTAAAGCAACTACTTGTCAACCTGAAACCCAAACCAAGTAGTAATCTCACTCAGCCACATGCAGGCCAAACCACAAGGGTAAGTATTCACCCCATCCCCAAGCCAATCTGAGCAAACAATAGTTCATAATCTTTCTGTGAGTTATCCCTTTATACCTAACTTACATAAGGCATAGGTCAGGGCACCTGAACTTACAGAGCGCGCCCAACTTAGCCAGGCCCAAAGTCAGAATACCTAAACTTATAGAGCGTTCTGACTTGGTCAGGTTTACACAAACAGAGGGCACTTCTACTTCTCTCTTCTTTGGGCATGTGACTAGACCACTCTAGTTGCCCTGAACTGTTTAAATAGTGAAGTTATATATATCTCTCCGAACATAATCTTCAAGGGGGCATAAGGTTGAGCCGCTCAACTTAGAACACTGCTCAGCCTGCCTAAGTTTACCTTCAGTTATACCTCTTAGTTATACTCTCTTCAGTTGTGGTAAGCTATAGTCAGACTACCTAAACTTATAAAGCGGCATGATCAGCCTTTTCATAATAACATAGTAATACAGTATAGCCAGGTTATATCCATTGGGTTCCAACATGTGCGAGGCATTGGGTCAGACTACCTAAATTTATAGAGCGGTCTGATCCTCTGCCAGGTTCGTTTCTCTTTGATCCAGTCTGTTCGAGGCAGTGGGACAGGCTACCTAAACTTATAGAGCATTATGTCCCCTGCCAAAATTATTCCCTCAGAACAAGACAGGAGGGGGGGTTGAACCACCTAAACTTATACAGCGGTTCAGACCCCCTCGTTCAGAAACAAAGAAACAAAAAAAATCCCTTAATTAACAAGGCGACCCAGGGCACCTAAACTTATAGAGCGCCCTGAGCCCCTGAAGATCAAGCACAATCAACCCTCGCCTGTCAGAGCAGTCGGACACCTAAACTTATAGAGCGTCCTGACCCTCCATGCAATTCACAGCACCAGGCCTTCCCAAACTTATGGGGACATCCTAGCCTCCAGAGCTTTAGGCTACCTAAACTTATAGAGCGGCCTGAGGCTCCATGCAATCCAAAAATAAACAAAGCGCTGGGCTTCCCCAAACTTAAGGGGACCTCCCAGCCTTAGTGACCCAGTCAATCTACACACAATACTGCCTTCCTCCCAACCTTCCCCTCAGATGCCACCGATTTCATTCGCAATCTGCTTTCAGGCAATTACCAAACTGAAACTGAGATTTGCCCACACATTCTTTTACTTCAATCTGACTTATGTCCTGAAAGTCAAACTCCGAACCAAGTACAGGATCCACACAATATACTCAGTCAAACATAGAGAGATGTACGGGTAGGGGTTATAGTTGGGTTTATAAAGGGAATCAAGGGGTTACCACTCAGTTCCCTGCCTCCAGGACTCCGCCTGAGTCCCGACAGAGCTCCCGCAACCTCCCACAGAGGCCTTGGCACGGATCACGGGCTGCAATCCCACCTACTGCCTTCCTCTCAGGGCCAATGGACTACACTTCAGAGGGAGAAGGATAGAAGGAGCAAGTTTGAGGCTCTCGAGATCCAGGGGAGGCACACTCAGACTCGCGTGAGAGAGCCTTGAATCCTTGACGCGCCTGAGGGCTCCACAATGGTGGCCAAAAACGCAGCAATCCAAGCAACCAGCAGTGTACACAGGCCTCCGTACGCAGCAGCAAGGTGCTACGGAAGATAGCAGGGTCTGCGACACTCTTAGCAACAACAGCATTTGGCGCTGTGCTCTGACCCAATAGTCGCTGCTGCAACACACACAGCTAGAACGGCCAGTCGGGCGTTCGATAACGTGCCGCAGTCCTCAGCAGTTGGCGGCAGATAGCAGTCACTGCTGGGCTACGCAGTTGAGGCACACCCTGCTCAGTCAGCGCAGTGCCACTCAGCACTCTCAGCGATCCACAGCATCCCCCAGTACGTGCGGCAGCTGCTGCCGCGGAGGCACAATAGGCAGGTAGGCAGCGAGCCAGTCGTCAGAACAGCCTCCGGGCTTGCGGCTAACTCGTGGTTATGCCGGCTAGCTAACAGAACGAACAGCGCGTCACCCAATAGGCATCCCCGCAATCCCTGTGCGCGGCGGCCAGGCTCGACAAACGCCTTCACATGCAGTCATAGATATTAGCAGCTCCTAGCGACTGCGTGCAACGACTGTACTAGCTCCAAGCACAGTCAATGAAGTAGCTCAGTCGCAACAAAGAATCAACCGCGGCCCCCTCCACTCATACCGAATCAACCAGTTAACTGACTGTAGCGCCGGTAGCCCGACCAGCCACTCTCCCGCTTCCGTCACAGACTTTACTCGGCCGACGGATAGCGCTCCAGCCAACAGGTAAGCCCCCATCCTTGCGGCCGGCTCCACGTCCCCCGACCTTTGCTTATCAGTGCAACAGCGACCCTCCGATTCTGCAACTTGTCTTAAACAGCTTCCTTTGTCGGATGGGCGGCATACCAGCTAAAGAGGTAAGCCACCAACCCCGCCCTGCGTCCTCCTCCTAACCCCACCTCTCCATAGCATGTAGAAAACAGTAGTGAGGGGCTGCCTTCATTGATAGAATGAGCAGCGTCGAGCATACAGGTAAGCCCCCGACCTTACAGCCCACTTCACGCAGCTTGTTCCCACCAGATTCACAAAACCGAATGAATCTGACCACAAACGCGGTTAGGTTCATCCCACTCTTTGACAAAGGCTAGGCCACTCCCCCGGGCGCAGTTCTCGCACCCCGTCTCACTAAATCGGCCACTCTACTGCGAAATCCGACATTACCATCGGATTCGCAGCAGCCTCGGATCTCTAAACTAACCCTCCCCCTCGCCCGACTTCACTCAGACACGAGCGCGACAAACCTCTCTTACTCCCCACCTTCTTGCTCTCGCCATCTCCATGCAGACCTTTTTCTTATCTAATCCTCATTCTACCCTACTAAATTCAAAGCTAACGGTGCCATTGACATCGCCCTATCAAAAAACCGTTGTCCCGACCTTCATCCTCCTCGATTCCATCCAGAATCGAGTACTATCTCTACTTCCCCTTCTACTTCATTCCTCCTTCCACCATGTCCTCGCGCAGCTCGTTTCGCCATTAACTCTCTTTCTACTAATCTAACGACCAGACTAACCTCACCATTCGACTCGCCATGGTCGAAGACCCCCACGTCGCTTCTTCCCCCACCTAAACTCGATCGGCGCACCTCGAACCCCCTTCTTCCTACCGCGCCATGCTTACTCCCCTTTCGCACCCGCCATCGTCATGCTTACGATCCCCTGCACGTTGACATTAACCCGGCCCAACACCCACGGTTGAATCGGCGCACTACGACCAGCTCCTCCGAAGGCCAAGTCGAGAAAGGCACCGGGGCGGACAAAGCAAAAAAAAAAAAAAAAAGGGCAACAGGAGAGCGCTCTCCGACTTATACGCATCGGCCTGCTCACAGGGGCCACGCAGGTCTTCTCTGTATCGTTCCAATTTTTACGAATGTCCCGAAGGACTTTTGCCTGTGGCAACGCCCCGCGGCAGCACTAAGGGCCACACAGTCCTTTCCTTTGCCTCTCCCGCATGCGCCTGCCCCGGTTCCCACCTAGATTCAGCCTCGGGCCTTCTAGCTACGATCGCCACTTCTCCGTGGCTGACCGTGCGAACCTCCCCGATATCGCCCCGCCTCATCAGCAACTCCGCACCGCCTTTCTGAGAATCGGATTCTCATCTGAGAATTTGCTCTCCTTGGCTACGCAGATCTTCTTTTCCGCACTCAGGTTCCTCCCACAGACAATTCGCCCCACCTGCTTAGCTCTTCTCGCATGGGCCTAGCCCCCCTTTTGGGCTCTATACACGTGGACCTTGCGCAGGGGCCATGCTAATCTTCCCTATATCGTTTCAATTTCAACAGATGCCCCGAAGGACCCTGCGTGTGGCACGCCCTTTCCCTTTTTACTCGCACCCGGCCCCCTTCCGCGCCCGAATCCACTCCGGATTCCCGCACGATATCCTCGCCCTGTGGAACAGGAAGCAAGGCAGTGGCCGGCATCCCTCCGCGCATACTACCCTGGCCTCTTCTCCTTTGCACGCCCCGGGTCGGATCTGCGTCCGGGTCCATCCCGGATTTATGCACATCATCCTTGCGCAGCCGGCCAAACAAATCTTCTTTGCATCATTTCAATTTTCTACAGGTGCCCCTAAGGACTTCCGGTCGTGGCCGCCTCTTTACCCTCTTTGCACGCGCCTGCCCTGCATTACATCCAGGTTCTCCCCCGGAGTCACGAGCGCCGGCCTTGCGCAGCGGCCTGACACACCTGTCCCGTCTCGATCCAGTCTTTTACGGATGCCCCGAGGAACGCAGCCTGTGCCGCGGAGGCAACGGCCCCAGGCAATTCAGGATACATGACTTTACCCACCACGGTTTCGCGCCCACATACGGGCGTGAAAAATAGTAGTAAAATTTTTTTCAAAATAGATGAATCATACATAAATAGATACATATAACCCCGCAGACGTGCGGCAATTGGGCGGGAACCGCGGCCGCCATGATTGTAAAAGGCGAGGGGGATAGTCCCACGGGCCCATCAACCCCTCAAGCCTTTCACCGCTCCCGCACCGTCGTCCGTTGGCCTCGAGCCCCGAACCTCCGCCTCACAAACCCGACACCGTAACCAATAGGGCTAAGCCCAAACCTGTGAGCTGCAGGCGCGGCTTCCCATACAAAGTGGTACCGCACGGCGCTCCGGGCTAAGATACCGCCTTGGCCACACTTTCTAGCCCACATTTGTACCCACGGCCCCTAAGTGCCCACACCGGGCCACCGCCGCGCGCCGTGGTCATCCCATGTGCCTACTGGCACGCCAATCCTACCGTCGATCGCGCGCGCCGTTCAAAAACGGACTTTCATCCCCTAACCAATCTTGTGGCCTAGTACGGGTCGGCCAGCTACCCCGGCCGCTCACATAATCAAGAAAATCACACGCGCGCCTTAAAACTGCACGCCCACATACCTCCTACCAGGACACGGCAGACCTCTGCCTGCGCGCTGACGACCCTCGCATTTCCAGCACGGGGATTCAAAATCCAGGTTAACCGAGCCTCCCTGTCGTTTGCAAAAACCCTGGGCGGATACCCTTGTAAGGGTATTCGCGCCGACACCGGGTTCGTGGACGGCCGGGCTATTCGCACGAAAACTGGCCCAGTCTTAGCAAGGTGCATCGAAGAGTACTACCTGCGCTATCCGTTTGTCATAGAGTTTGTGATGGACCGGGGGTCGGAGTTCACCTGTAACGAGGTGCGGACCTTACTTGCAGGGTATGGCGTTGTAGCAAACTATACTACTGCCGCGCACCCCCAGGCAAACGCACCTGTGGAGAGGGGGCACAACACCATCACAAATCTTCTGGACAAGTTGACTGAGGGAAGGCCTAACCAGTGGCCGAAGTTCCTGAGAGCAGCTTTCTTCGTGGAAAATGTTACAGTAAAAAGGACTACCAAGTATGCGTCAACCACCCTATGGTACGGGAGGCATGCCACCTTTCCCATAGAAAGTTTCATGAAAACGTGGAAGCACCAGTTCTTGGAAGTGAACCTGTCTTTCGAAGAACTGCTCGATATTCGGGCGCGGCAGGTGGGAGCGGCTGAGGAAAGGCTGCGAGAAGCCGCTGGTCAAGTAGAAAAGAACCGCACGGAAGACAAGATGAGGTGGGACCAGATGGCCTGTGTAAGAAAGGATCCGGTGAAGGTTGGAGATGTGGTACGGCTGTATGACTCCTCGCTGGAAAAACAATGGTCTAGGAAACTCGACAAACTCTATAGGATCATGCGGTGTGGCGAGTTTGGGGCCTACCAAATTGAGGATCTGGATGGGGCAGGGTGGAAGGACTGGGTATCAGGGACAAGGTTGAAGAAGTTCGTGGCTAGGGAATAGGTAAGGGACCATGACACCTCGTTAGGAATAGAGTCTTGCCCAGGCAATACCCATGTTAGGTGATTAGATAGATGACTGCTTGGAGTGGATGGATGTGGAGTGTATGTAAAATTTCCCTAAGCCAATAGGCCCAGTTGCTGACCCTGCTGTGTGCCTGTTTGCTGTCTCTCGCCTGCTGTGCAGGTCTGACTTTTCGAAGGCAGTCATGCAGAGGGGTGGGAGGGACGCACGGCCATGGCAGGGGCCCCAGAGGGCAGCGGGGAGAGGCGAGCAGCACGAGCCGCCTAGGAGGGAGCCTACGCCTGAGTTTGACAACGATAATATAGAGTTCTTCCTGGACGTGTATCGGGATCATGCGGCACAGAGAGGGTGGTCAGTGGCGGAGAGGATTCACCACTTGAGGGGTATAGGGCAGTTTGAGGAGACTGTCGCTCAGATATGTGAGGAGGCCCTAACTTGGACGCATGTGGAGGCCGGGATGCAGAGGTTGAGAGCTTCCCCTAGAGGACGTGATGGCATGCCCATTCGGGTGGAGGAGGGGAACGTGGAGGAGTTTATTCCCGCATATGAGCATTATATGCTGATCCAGGGAATTGCGCGAGAGGAGTGGGTACAGGCCCTACTTATTTGGCAGAGAGGGGCAGAGAGGCCGGTCGCCAAACAGATTCGGGAGAGGGCTCGAGACTGGGAGGACTGTCAGGCCCAACTCAGGAGGGTGTTCGGACGGCCAGAGAGTGAGAGGTACGAGCCCAGGGTCGAGAGGCAATGGCGAAGTAAGAGGCCAAGGGAGCCGGCACCAAGAGAGGTGGGGCTGGCTAGAGAGAGGAGGAGGGCCCCAGCACAGCGGGAGGATGTGACCGCAGGGCCCGTGTCGGCAGAAGAGTCGTTCCCTGCTTGTGGCCTCCGGGCAGTTGAGTTTTGGTGGATTACGAGCGAGGAGCTGAGACTGCCCTCACCATTGCCATCAGGGCAGGAGCTGGACATACTAGGAGAGACGCCATTCCGGAGCTTAGCGACTCATCTTGATGTATTTCGATGGGAGGCCTCACGATTGGGGGAGGGTTCAGTTAAGCCGACGTGCTATGTGCCGTTGGAGGAGCCTTTGGACCCTGAGACGGAGATGGACAGGCAAGGCCGAGAGGAGCCGCAGGATCCATAGATGGCAGCCGAGCAGCCGGATCCGGTACAGCCTCAGGATGAGGAGGTGATCACAGTCGGAGACGATACCCCTCCATGCTCCCCAGTTCTGGAGCCAGCACAACATTCATGGCCAGAGGGGATTCCTGAGCACAGCAACGAGGAGATTCCGGAGTTTCCCCCAGAGACCACTGCGATGCCTGAGCAGGAGATAGAGATGGAGGAGTAGGGGGCGGGTAAGGGAGCAAGGATGGAGACGAGTTACGATTTACCTTCAGTTATGCCCGCGATCGAGCGCCCAGCTATCGAGGAGCCTGCACTGGAAGGGCTACCGCCGATATTACCGAGTACGAGCGAGAGGATGGAGGCCGAGGCGTCGACTCTGGAAGGCCCAGGGCCGGGAGTGAGAACAGCCCCAAGAGAGACCCACGAAGAGAACTCCGCCCGAGTGCGGGGCTGTCTGGACGAAATACACTCGAGACAGGCTGAGATGGAGGCGGCGGGGATAGAGTCGCCGCCGCCTGTCAAGCCCATGACGAGCGAGCAGAGGATTGACGAGTTGTGGGCCAGATACGAGAGCCAGAGGGATGCGGCCCGCCAGAGGTCACGAGAGACGGGGCAGGCGGACGAGGAGGCGGGTGAGCTGAGGGAGATGGGAGACTTGGGTTTCTCTGCGACTAGGATGCCGGTTGAGCGAGTGGATAGGAAGATATGCGAGACGACAGTTACATCCTTCCAGTGGTATAATCAACTTAGCAACGAGCTCAGGATCAAAGAGTTGGAGGTGGAACACCTGACTACTCAGCTTGCCAAGGAGAGGGCGAGGAGCCAGGCCAGAGAAGTTGAGTGGGATAGGAGATTTGGGGAGATGGCGAATAATGTGGATAGGCTCTCGGCAGCCTGGGAGGTTAGCCAGGCGGGACGAGCCGGTGCCGATGGCCAGAGCCGAGGGATGCAGGCTTCGCCAAGTCAGGGAGCAGCGGTGGAGGCCCCTCGACATGCCGAGCAAATGAGGGAGGTGCCCTTGGACACGGCCGAGGAGGAGGGTGGCGCACAGGAGTCGCGTATGGCTATGTCCATGGAGAGGAGGGGCACGCGTTTGCATGAGCTGGCGGCAGCCATGGGGTTTGATACCCCACAGGAGAGGGCTCAGAGACTCGACACTCCAGAGTACGCCCCGAGGTTGGGAGAGCTAAGGGCGGGGCTGGGCTCTTGGGCCACAGGGACGGACTCGGGAGGACCTGATTCAGGGCGGCAGCAGCAACAGGAGGTTACTAGTGAGCCGGCCGTCGTGGCAGGCTCTCAGTCGTCAGGATCATGTGGGGGTGTGGTTGTGAAAGAGGGGCCTCATGAGGAGGGACCCCGAGAGTTTGACACGTCAGACTATAGGCCTGTGAGCACAGTTGTATGAGAGGGTGGGGATGCCGAGGCTCTGGAGACCGAACCTCAGGGCCATATGGGTTTGCACTCGTGCCATGAGGTGACCACTGAGACCATGGGGACGCCTTCGGCATCGAGTTCACAGGGGAGAAAGCAGAAGACTGCCAGGTGGCACGATACCTCCTGTTTTTGGTGCAAGGAGGAAGGGCATAGAGCCGTGGACTGCCCAGAACTCCTCGAGGATAAGGCCGAGGGGCGAGTTGCGGAGTCCAACAACAAGTTCTATGACAGGCAGGGCAGGATAGTGAAGCGGGCTCCAGATGGGGGCAGGGCTCAGTTATATAGGCAAAACTAGGAGGAATTGTGTAAGTAGGGACTGGTCTGTCTATGTATCAGTAGGGTCAGAGTAATTGGCACACAGGGGGCAGGTTGGAGGTGTACATATGTTTAGTTGGCTGAGGGGGCCCTAGATGTGTGCGTGTTTTTAGAGGTGGTAGGATGAGTCCCTGCCTGCTTATACATACATAGTTGATTGTGGTTTCCTTGATTTTTTTTTCATGGGCTTCGACTTAGGACATGAGGGTCGACTGTACGATACATGAGACTACTCAGTCCATTTTGGATTTCGCAGTGCAGAGACTACTTGAGTTTTGAGAGAAACTTGGGTATGAGTTTTCTCTAGTTAGGCGAGGCAGGGGGGTTAGGCACCTATTAGATTTAGGCAGATGTTGTGCTCCGAGCGTGTTCCGCGAGTGTACAGTGGGGTTGGGAGCTATGCTCAGATGGATAGAGCTTGAGTTGAGTGTTTGTGTTTGAGTCTTGAGGGAGGCATTCTACTCCCTGAGTGTATCATGAGTTGAGATTCTATGGGACTTGTCTTGTGACGACCACTATTACTCTCACATGTGTGACTTTATCCTGATGTATGATTGGTTTTGTGTGCGAGGTGTATATGTTACACCTCATGCGCATGATTGCATAAACTGTAAAGTTGTCTACCCTCCGGTATACTCGTGCAGTCTGCCTGCGAGCGGACGAGAGGGCAGAGTATAAGGAGGGGGAGTGCAGCCTGTTTGTGAAAAACTGTGAGAATCCTGCGGGATTGATGGATTCAGAAATTTGCATGCTTGGTCATACTAAACACCGTTGCCTAAGTTGTACAAGGACCCAGAAGATGATCCCTCAGTCTGAGTTGTTTGGTGGTTAAGACCCCCTTCCTGTTTTTGGAGGGTGGTACTGGTGTTGTCACTAAGACCCCTTCATGGTTCTGGAGGGTGGGAATTGTGTTATTGATAGGGCCCCTTCATGGTTTTGGAAGAGGCCGCGTGAAAATTCATCTCGAACAAAGAGGGGGAGGGGTGAATACGAGATCTTTTGCGAGAGGCACCCTTTACTAAGTAAGGGTGGGTAGAAATTGACTGGTATGGAAAGCATTGTTTGTGTTGATAAAGCCTGATGAGAGGGAACCATGTTGGCTTGAAATGGTTGAAAAGGGCGAGAGATGCCTCACGGTGGGCGACTGCTGGCTCTGATAAAGTCAGGAGCCGCGGCCTTGTGGATCCGGCGGGGAGACTGTTTGTGATTGAGCGAAGAATGTCGTGCCTATTATAGGAGGGCCGGTAAATGCCTTCAGACCCCTGCGTAGTCCCGCAGCGGCCTGTGAATTGTTTGTGATGCCCCGCCGGGCCACCTGTGCTAATCCCGAGACATATTTAAAGGAATACCAAGCTAACGGTAAAGTTTAGTGCCACCTGGGCGCAACCCCTAGTGGATGGCTGCAAGCCGGCACAACCTCGCTGCGGGCCCGCGAGGTAAGAGTTTAAGGGGAGTTGCCCGCCCCAGAGAAATTACTCCACGGGATAGGAGTCGAGTCTTTTGGAAAGTCCTGATTGACTGATTATCAAGAAAAACGCCTATCGTTGTATAACCAACGGGAGGATACCGCTGCTAAGGTAACAACGCAGTGGGCCGTAGACCTGGGCCGATCAGCCAAGCTACGGTGGACCCAAATGGGGACCTGGCATTTCTGTACTAGACTGCAAAAAAGGCCGAGAGAGGCTACGAGCTTATACATGTGTATTTTGTTTGATTGTGAGGGATTTGCTGGAAGAAGACAAAGAATGCCTTCATAGGTCCCATTCGAAGCCCACGTCCCTAGTTATAGCTCTGCTTACGAGAAAAAGGCTAACTGGGACACCCAACGAGAGGCTGACGGTTGTCTAGGACAAAAAGGGAAGAGGATGGTTTGAGGGCCTTTGGAACTTATGCTGTAGTATTGATGCGTAATACACCGGCGTCCTGGCGTCAGGACAGTAGGGACCCAGGTTGAAACCCTGACAGCATATAGTTGTGTTGGAACGGTTTGATGGGGGCCTCAACCCTGAGTCTGTCGGCTTATCGGATTGGTTCTAACCTCGTCGGCATTTGGAGTGTAAATAGATCTATAGCTTTTTTATTTGGCGGAGCGACGGGGACGTCGCTTAATATGGTCCGGTAAGCTGTCGGCGCGAATACCTTCACAGGGGTATCCGCCCTGGTTTTTGCAAGTGGCAGAAAGGCTCGGTTAACCTGGAGTTTGAGTGCCTGTGCGGGAAAATGCGAGGGTCGTCCGCGTGCGGGCAGAGGTCTGCTTTGTCCCAGTAGAGAGCATGTGGGCGCGCAATTTTGAGGCGCGCGTGTGATTTGTTCTGGTTGAAATAGGCGGCCGGTCTAACCCGACCGACCCGGGCCGTGTTATGAAATTGGTTAAGGAGTAAAAGGGTGTCATGGTTGACACGCGTAACCGGCAGTAGGACGGGGCATGTGGGGCAGTCACGCCAATGCCTTGCAGGCCGGCGCGGGGCACTTAGGGGTAGTGGGTACAAATGTGGGTTGAAAAGAGTGACCAGGGCGGTGTCTTGGCCCGGAGCACCGGGCGTTACCATTTTATACGGGAGACCGCGCCTGCCGGTATCAGGTTTGGGCTGAGCCCTATAGGTTACGACATCGGATTTGTATGGCGGAGGTGCGGGGATCGAGGCTAGCGGGCGAAAGCGCAAGAGCAACGAAGCGGCGAGGAGCGGAGGGGTTAAGGGTCCCGCGGGACTATCCCCCTTTGTTTTGCTGGGGGAGCCCGATCGCAGGCCCACGCCGCAGAGCTAAGGGAAAGTAGTGGCACGTCCCATGCCCCGGCCCTTGTAGGGTTTCTCGTCTTCATATGGGTTGGGCTACATCCCATTTCATGATTTGCCCCTTTTGGGGCCGGCGGGGGTTCTGAGACTGGTCGCGGGCCCGAGAAATCAGCGAGGTGGGGTATGCTGTTGAACCAATGAAAAGGGGGGACCGCATCGTGGCAAAGATAAGTGCCAGGTGCTTTTAGAAGTGGGAACGTGTGACGTTTCGATAGCTCCGTGGGGCGTTGCCTTGTGCAGGCCCTTCGGGATATTTACGGGATTTGGCACGATACAAGATAAGATTTGCATGGTTGCGTCACACGGATCGTACGAGAAGATTCGGGGGCGAAACCATGCCGGGAATCGGGCCGGGCGCGTGCAACAACAATAAGAGAAAAAAGGGGGCGGAGAGATCCGGTGGCCTGGAGATCGCCGCGGGGCACCGCCCCGGTCGAAGTTCTTCGGGACATCCGTTCAAATGGGAACGATACAGAGCAGACTAGCACGGTCTCTGCGCAAGGGTGACACSCACAAACAGGGAAAGGACCCAGCCGTGAAATGGGCCGGGTACGTGCAAGAGAGGGGAAGTAGGGCCTTTAGGCCAACACGGGGCGTTATCCCAGCTGAGATTTTTCTTGTGGGCTCGCAAAGTTTGAGAGGATGCGGAGGAGATTCGCGTGAGGGGATAACGTGAGGAGGGAGTTCGGGACCGAACCCGGCCTCAGAAGAAGGCTAAATCCTTGGAGGGGAGGCCGGCACTGCGCAAGCTGCTGACGGTGCAGGGGGAAACCAGAGGCTGCCCGGACGCCGAAAGGGCGTGGGGCGTGGCGTCGGCTAAAAGTCCCTCGGGACCCCTCTGAAATAGGGCTGATTCGCTGGGGCAAAACTTGGACCGACATGGGGGATTCATTAGGCTCCGACGGAGGGGAGATATGCAGAAGGTCCGGGGATGAACCCGGACGTGAATTGGGTCAGGCGCATGCGCAAAAAGGGAGGGAAGACCGTTGGACCTTTGGAGGGCCGCGCGGCGGTGCCCCCCCCAGCCGAAAATGTTTGGGAGAATTGAAAATATAGAGAGGGTTAGTGTGGCCCCTGCAAACGGGCGGCGGGTATAAGTTCGGAGGAACTTTCGTGCTACCGGTTTTGTTCACCTGTCTAGACTCGTCTCCTGGCCGCAGATGGTTTTCAGTCGGTCTCCAGTCATTCGACGTCGTGAGCATCGAGGTGCTATGCGGTGGTCGCGGTTGACGACAACACTCGGGACGTCGGGGATGGTAGAAGTCGGGCCGCGTGCAGCCGAGGGCTGCTAGCATGCCCGATCGAGCGAAGGAGCAGGCGGACAGGGAGCGGGTCCTGGGGCTTGATAGTGGGCGAGGGGAGCAGCGAGGACGGAGCGGGGTGATAGTGGCGGTAGACGATGCAAGGGGGCTAACAGGGGAGCGACGGGCTGCGAAGAAGGACGAAGTGAACCCGAAAAGGAAAACGGGCCGGGTGCATTTGGAAGTGGTGGGGAGACAGGAGGGGCGTAGTAGGGGGGTTTCGATCATGGCGGACGCACAAGCGCGGTTGGTTTCGGCTGAAGAATAGTGGTTTAGTCGGGGTAGGAGTTGGAAGGGGCGTGAAAGCTTGGAGAGTTGTAGCTGTGAAAGGAACGGAAGGATCGATTACTCACTCAGGGTTGGGTGAAATCGAGCAGAGTAAAACGCTAACCTGAGAGTTTGGGTAGGGCGAAGCTAGTGGTGTTGTCAGTTTAGTTGCAGGTTATGTAGTTTGGCTGGAGTTAGTATTGTAGGCTGCGCCGGGAGAAAGGCTTGGACACGGTTATGTATCTTCCCATGTTTCTGCGGAAGATTCACTCGATTTTGCTTATCCGATCGGTGGTGGCTGGGTGGAGCCAGTCGTGGGGATC